ATCAACAAATCATCAGGTTGTTTATGATTATCAGATCATTGGAGCTAAAGAAGTTTCACTTCTGTCGTGGGGTCATAAGCACACTCGCTTTTTAAAGGACAATGGGCAAAACGCACCCAGCTCCGCCAACAATGTGATAAGTATGAATCGATAGATATATGAAAAACTACCGCCTTTTTTATTATGGCACGGAAAATAATTATCCTGGTAGTCAATAGATATGACACATAGTCATATTTAAGTAGCTGAATAAATTCATTTTATAGTACCTTCATTTTATATTATTAGTAATCATAATAATATGCCATATCGTACTATACAATTAGATATACGACAAAGCCTGCCGACCATCCTGCGCTTGCTCTTACTGAGACATTTCAAAATGGTTTACGGATGATGAAGGACTTGCAGTTGCAAATAGTCGACTCGTCTTACTTCGTTGTGATTGCGCGCTCCCTGCTACTTGATTGATTTTTATCAAACACGCTTTGGATATTGGAACACGATTATCGGTTTTATCAATTAGTATGGATGAATTGGAATCATGTGTTCTCCGATGCGTGGACAAGTTTGTGTAATCTGTGGTCGCTCCGTTTTAAATAGAAGACAATTTACTATAACAAACAGAATGTTTAAAAAAACCTCCATGCGGGGATTTTTGGATTAACTCTAGCGCGGCAAAATAACATAAGGGGGCACCTTTGCACCTTGTGAAGTACTCCCATAATTCCTGAGCACCCTATGTAGGGTCGAACTAACTAACTAAATTAATTCCCTTGTTTCATTAATGTTCGTTGTAGTACTTGTACATATTTAACTTAAAATAACTAAAGACTCCCGGGATGGAATTTGATCTGCTTTGGCACAGATGATCTTGACTATAATACCTTTCAAACAAATGTAGTTTAAGCCGTGGCGGACGTGGGTGCAGCGTCTATACATTTTTGCCCAATGTCCTTTATATTTATAAAACTAGTAATTAAAAATAATATAAATAAATAACAATTTAATAGAGAACCATTTCAGCTTTCTATGGGCGTTAGTGAATGAAGTTACGATTTATCCAATTAAGTTTCCTTTTGTTGGTTCCGTTCTTCAACAAACTGAGGTGAATCTCGCGTGATTCGCTCGCTCGCTTAGGCCCGTATTACAGAATGATAATTATGTGTTGTGTTGTGATGTTTACTTGAGTACAGTTAGAAAAGGATGTCGCTATGTGCTATATATAGCGACATCCCTTTCTAACTATGCTCAAGACTAGATCAATTACTGAGAATCTTTCTATAATACGGGCCTTATGGTGCGTGCAGCGCGGGCGAGGTCGCGACTTCGGTAAGTAGCTTGTAGCTTTGGCCCCCAACGACGAAACACAATGTAGGGTGCGAACGGCTGGTGACAAGCGGCGAACTCTCTACAAACTGTTTGCATTCTGGTTATTTACCTAAAATCAACGATATTAAATACTTATATGCGTAATATTTTACCTTTGCTTCGTTGCCTACAATACTTAACTATCATCGAAATGCTTAGATTTAAACAAAAAGGGAAGATACTTATACTTTTTGGTCTTTTGATTTGTGGTGCATGACCACAATTCGCTTTAGTCACGTCTTTAAATAAACATTCATTCGAGCGAGCGACACAGAACAGTGCCCTTTGCACGTGCTAAAGCTGCACCTCTAGCATGAACCATTATCGAATTCGAATAGTTTGCGAGCGCGAAATGTCAATGGAAACTTGAACAGCAATGCCACAAAGTACGTAATGAGAACTAAAAGTCAGTACACAATTGACACAGACATTTCGGATTCTCAAACTATTCGAATTCGATTGGTTCGTGATTTTTTAAGGGTACTATACCCTTAGCACGATTTTGTGTTACAACCGTCTGCGTAACTGAAGATTTAGTGGAAACTTTAAAATGTACGCTATTCCGGTCAAGTGGACGTGAGAACTTTATTGTAGTTTTGGCTAACTCACAGAAGTTTATCGAAATAGCCAACTTGATACATTTCGTGTCAAACATTCCAAGTAATATTAGGATGCGTCACACCGACATTCCAATGTAAAAAAAGATTTGATACAACTTAAAGCGGCTGTATGGGCATTGTAGCTTTTGCCTTCCCTAAAAAGGGAGAATCTTAGAAAAAAAAAGAAAACCGTAATCTTTAAATGCCTCAAGCTCCACCCATATTCTTAGTCGTTTCCTCGAGATTTTTTCCACTCGACTCAACCTCATTGGAGGAAATTCGTATGCTTAGACAACAAAAATATCCTTCACTTGAGATATTCCTCACTCGAGTGGAGGTCGAGTCGAGGAATAAACTGTCAAACTCAAGGTAGCTCTCGACGTACCTTAAGGCTTCCTCGAGTGGTGTTTAAGGTGTTTTCAAGTTTTATGTCTGATTTTGAGATTATTGACGAATTTGTGGATTTTATGGATTACGTATACGATTTATTTATTTATTTATTCAGTAACACATACACGATGATTAACCATATAATTTTCCGGCGCGACGGTATTTACGTGATGTCGCAAATCCTTTTAAGGTTTACGACAATGATTCGTTTCAAAGAAGATTTCGGTTTAGAAAAGATACAGTCATACAAGTAATATTTCCTGTGTTAACCATTATAGAAATAAAATCCTCCAAATGATGACGTCACAATGTTGAGGAATTCTCAGTGGAGGAATTCTCAAGTTTGTTCAAGATACCAACTAGAATACCATTTTCGAGGTTATTTGGAGGAACTCCTTAAGGAGCCCTCGAATGAGTTTGAGTCGAGGAACGTTTGAGGACGCGATTAAGAATATGGAGTGGTGTGTGTCAAAGTCTCTTATTGGTCTGTGGTCAAAGAGTAGTAAAACCATGGTATGACAAAGTGAAAACTAATGAAAGTCGTGATTTCATTACAACAATAAATAGATTGAGATTTGGTCATAATATTGCACCGTCACACCAGACTTAAGATTGTTTCAAACAATCAATGTAATCACTGTCAAGCAGAAGAAGGAACGATCCACCACATGATTTTCGATTGCCAAAGTTTCTTCATTCAAAGACTTGTGCTGGCTAGTGTACTCAGTGTTACCAATGCATTTAAGTGTGTTTCTTCTTCCCGCCCGCCGCCACTCAACGTTTTACTAAAAGATCCAACATCCTATAAACCTATTTATAATTACATAAAAAATACAATCCAATCAATTTAAATGATAAAATTCTGTGAAGTGAAGTGTAGTGACTCCAAAGTAATGAACATTTTCCAAATAAGTTATGACCGTTATGACCATTTAAGGTCTTTGTAACCAGGTCATAAAAAAAAAATTTAATCTGTTTACGCTTGGTTTACGCTACATAGGTTGCTTTCCAATTACAGCATTATAGCGCATTATGCGGCATAATGCTTAATGATGAGTGTTCCAACTACAGCAACGCTTCGCACAATTGAGCACTCTCAAAAGTGATGCTTTTGTGTGATGCGTGCAATCGTACCAACTGAGAGACAGAAAATTAACAAGTGTTTTTTCTTTGAGTTGGCATAGATCGAAATGTTTTATTTATACGTTATCGTTACTTATTTATTGATGAAAAATTATTAAAGCTTTCATTTCATTAAATAGTTTTTTTTTAAATAATCAAAGTTCATTCAAACTGTTAAAAAATAAATATAAGTATGGATGAAGGTACAAACATTGACTTTTTTTTTCAACACTGAACTTAGCGCACTCTGCTGGTGCATTTGAAAACTAATTCACGTTCCAATTACGCATCAGCATAATTCAGCATTGTGCGGCACTGAGTCGCATTATGCTCTGTAATTGGAAAGCAACCATAGTTAGCTAGCAACCACCAGGGAGTTTTTGGCGGGATTTCATCGTGTGGTTGGCGTCTTATTTTAATTATTCTTAAATTCGTTCATAGTGGATATTGTGAAATAAAATTGGTGTGATTTTGTGTTACAACTGTCTGCGTAACTAAAGAATTAGTAGAATCGTCAAAATATACGCTATTCCGGTCAAGTGGGTGCGTGAGAATTTTATTGTAGTATTGACTACCTCACAGAAGCTTATCGAAAAAGCCAGCTCGATACATTTCGTGCCAAACACTTAAAGAAACATTAGAATACGTCACACCGACATTCTAATGTCAAAAGAAAAACAGAATAATTTAACTTAAGATTAGGCTGTATGGGCATTGTTCCCCTTGCCTTCCCTGAAAAGGGAGAACGTAACAAAATAAAAAATTAGCAACCACCAGGAGTGCAAAGTAGTGTTGGGTAGGACACGACTTGAAAAAGAGTTTGTAAGAGAAGCCTCTTTTTTGTACTGAGCCAGTACAATGTCCCACTTCAAATGAGGCGAGGCGAACTGAAGCTCGGGAATACATTTGAAGTGACGAGTACAAATATGACATTGAGGCGTACAGAAGCTCGACATTACGTTTGTGTGCACGAGTAGCACCTGGAGCGTAAGTTCTGAACGCAACCCTGGGCTACGTTCAATACCTACGCTCTGAGTGCAACTTTTACCCTGACGTTTAAATTTTGACATAAAATGTATGAAGCTAATGTCAACTTAGATATTTGTTGCACCTAGAGCGTAGGTTTTGAACGCAACCCAGTGCGAGTGACAAGGATTATTTGGCGTGTGGATGACTTTGACAAGAGGGCGTTGTACTGCAAATTAATTATAGAAAACACAGTGAGACAGCATTATTTCTAGTTTGTGTCATGCGATGCGCCACAAGATCCTTGTCGCACTGTAACACAGACCACTAAGATAAGAGAGAGATAGGTACTACTACACTGTACCGTAGAGGACTTAAATGAAATGCCATGCCTCGCTCTCTCTCAGACTTACGAAGAGTGAGTGAGTAACGAGATGCGACTATCGTGACATTTAATGTGAAGTAGTACATTTTAAAATTTTGAGCCGCTCTTACATTTTGACGTCATGTCCGGGACAAATGTACCGCCTCTTGTAAGTCCTACACAACACTAGTGCAAAGTCAAGTTGACCGCGAACTTACATTTATTTAATTTGTAGTATCAGTTGTTTATTTCATGAATTAAAGTAATAACTAGAGCCATGTCTTGGTTATTTGGTTATAGTACAAAGCCACCTCAACCTCCATCTGATGATCCTCCTGCCGATAGCGGCGGAGCTGCTCCTCCTGTAACTCTTTCGAAATCTGAGAAAAGGGCAATGGAGGCTTACCGTTTTGATTCAAGTGCTTTAGAAAGAGCTGCCCAAGCAGCGAAAGAATTGGAAAGATCTAGTAAGTATTTTTTAAACTTGCATATTTAAGTTTTGTCGTACCGATTGCATAATGCGATATTATAACCTCTAAGGCACACCGTGACTGGGTGTGATGATCTTTATTCTGAAACAAGATGCGTCTTGCCAAGCGCTTTTGCTTTAATTGCGGATGTAAATTTATTATAAGTCGGTTAAATGTTCAAGCAAATTTTATCCTTAAATTGCACTTCTTAGTTCCACATGGAGTTCACTTTTCCAGAGTTAAAATCTTATTGACATGCAGTGTGTAGGTCAATGCATTAAGACCTCAGCAATCATTTAAAGGCAAATTATTGAAGTACATAAACTGTTGTAAACATGTAAAATGAAGTGCTAACATTCTGCAGATAGATTTTGTTTTACTGCTAGAAATTTCACATCAGCACGTCTAAATCTGATACACTATGTTTAGTACTCAATGCAACTGTTTAACCCAGATTCCACTACCTCGCACTGTACATTTGCTATCACTATAGCAAGGTTCCGGAGAAATTTTGTCAAGGGACACCTATGATTTTTAGCTTCATTTTTATATAATAAAATAAACAAACTGATTAACATTTACACTTTTACCAGATATGCTCCCTTGCATGAACACTGCAATTTGATATATAACACTATTTTATCACACTCAATTGTCAAATTACTATGGAGTTTGACAGTTTGATGCAATAAAAAACATGACAATGTAAATTGTGGGGCTTATGCTACAGGGACAGGTGGTAAGCTAGTCCTCCCGGAGTTATTACTAACGTTAAATTATGACGAGACAGAAAATCTCTTTAATATCATATCCTATTAATGAAACATTGTAAAATTTCTAATATGAATATATTAATAATAAAATCTAAAAGATCCCTAAAAAATTAATAAAATTGAATTAAATAATTACAATGCATATGATAATGACTTTAATTTTATTAATAGGTATTGTTTAGGTATTAAATAGAGTTAAGTAAATAGGTTTAATTTGTCTATTATTAACTTACCCTCTCACACTCACACTAAACATTTTACTATTAGATAATAATTTTATTTCTTTATAATATTATTCTGGAATGCTTATACCGTAATTATAAAATTATGTTGTTAATTTATGCTAGCACACCATAGTTAAATATGTATAAATGTTAAATGTGAGGAGCACTGGAGCCTGAGATACAGGTTTATCCTTAAACTAATTTCAGCACGGAAGTTACTCAAATAATTATATGCTCAAATGATATTAACTAAGTCGTCAGTAAAATATTATGTACAATGTTTATCGAACTAATAAATATTATTATTATGTTAGAATGGGACTTAACTTTTATATCTGATTAGTTATGGCGGCCCGCTATGTACTCAATGACATTAGCTTTTTGAGTATCCCACAGGAATGTCATTTTATTTTCAGGTCATAAAGTATGTGCATACCAAATTTCATCCAAGTCTGGTTGAGTAGTTTTTGAGTGATTGAGTAACAAACAATTACATTTATAATATTAATAGGATTACTAAAGAAATGCAATTTTTGTAGTTTTCAGAACATACATTTAACTGCAGTCTCCTTGAATATGAAATTTTGTTGTTGACAATTTAGTCTCCAGTAACATGTTTTCTTATACATAAGAAGCTATAGCATAGCTTCATATAGGATAGGATATAGGATTTTATCTATTAGTTTGGACTAGTAGAAAACTATATGACATAGGTACATATACATTCAACAAATTTTTCTGACCAATGTCAGTAGGTTCATGAAAGGTGAATTTCATTAATAATATTTTAAGTACACACTTTAAAATTTTCTTACCAAATAACAGGACATGCAAAAGAAGCTTTGGAGCTTAGCAAATTGCAAGAGGCAACAAAGCAACAGGAGCAAATGGCTAAAATCAAAGAATATGAAGCTGCGATAGAACAAGCCAAAATAGATCAGAAAAAAATTGATTATGAAGAAAGACGCAAAACACTCCAAGTATGTTAAATAAGAAGTGTATTCTCTTTATTACAGTAAGGCACTGTGCCTTAATAATTTGTTGTTATTTTATCAGGAAGAGACAAAACAGCATCAAATGCGTGCTCAATATCAAGATCAGTTAGCTAAAAAGAGATATGAGGAGCAGTTGGTCCAACAACAAAGGTCACAAGAAGAAATTCTCAGAAAGTAGGTTCAATATTCATTAAAATTTATTATTATAGTATGCCTATAGAAAAACAGACAGACAGAAACAGAAATATTTATTTTGTATACCTATATGCCGAACATTTCTTTCCAAAAAAATGCTAAATAGTAAATAACATTTCCCATATATTTTCATAATAAAATAAACATGTGTCCTTATTGATGATTTAATTTAGTTTATAAGTTCTTTAAAAATCTTGTTTTTAAATTAATATGAATCTGGTTTTCTTTTTGTCATACTTGTGTGTGTTTAAATTGTTGATAAAATGTTTTGTTCTCTCTAATGTTGATTTGTTCATCAAATTTAAAAAATTATGTCTTACAATTTGTTTCAACAAGTGGTATTTAGAGATAGACTTCAATATCTGCATAGAGGTGTTGAGGGGAATACATTTACAATGCTTTGATGACCAGTAAAGGTTGCCTGCATTCTGGGGCATTCTGCTTCAACCTCAAATATTTTTTTCTCAATATATTATGTATATTCTGTATGTTTTTTGTTAAAGTAAATAATTTTTGTATGTTGTCTGGAGTTATAAATTCTTTATTTTTATTGTGTTTATTGTAATTATTCAAACTATTTTGAGATAAGTAAGATCCCAATTACTTTTACTTGTATGATCTCTGATGAGAAGTGACGATGCTGCGAGAAATCATCCAGGAAAATTAAACTGGCTATATAATATTTAAGGTACTTTTATTAAAGGTACTTTTACTTTGTTGTGGTCCGATTAGCACTGTTGGGATGACTTGAAACAAATTTGGTAACAGATAGAGGAAAGATGTCCAATAACTATTAAATATTTTTCATATAGGCAAGAAGAAAGTGTGGCTAAACAGGAGGCATTAAGACGAGCAACAATTGAACATGAGATGGAACTACGTGAAAAGAACAAACTTAAAACAATAGAGGCTGAAGCAAGAGCTCGTGCGAAAGCTGAAAGAGAAAACCGTGATATAACCCTTGAACAAATGAGGTTGAAGGCAGCTGAGAATAGGCAAACTATACTGGAAAGCATAAAGTAAGTTATTGGTAATTCAAAATTGGGCAAAAAAGTTTTAGTTATGTAATTTGCTGAATAAAAGCTAATAAATTAATTGTATCTATCCAATAGAACTGCAGGCAGTGTTATTGGAACTGGTCTGAATGCTCTTGTTACGGATTGGGACAAAACACTAGCAGCTGCTGGTGGCTTGTCATTACTTGCACTTGGTGTTTATACTGCAAAGGGGGCTACTTCAGTAGCTGCAAGATTCATAGAAGCTCGTATTGGTATATATGATCATAATTATGATTAATTTATCATTGTATAACTTCAATGTTATTCATGAAAGTTCAATCATTTATTTTTTACTAACATTGTAGGAAAACCAACACTTGTTAATGAGACGTCAAGATTCTCATTGTTGGAAGCGGTTAAACATCCAATACTAACAGTAGCAAAGGCTGTTTCTAGTTTCAAAAAACCAACAGATGCTTTGACGGGTGTTGTTCTTGCACCTACACTAGAAAGAAGACTGAGAGATATTGCTATTGCTACTAAAAATACACGTTTGAATAAAGGGTTTTACCGAAATTTGCTAATGTATGGACCTCCTGGCACTGGTAAAACACTATTTTCAAAGGTAAAAATATTTTGTAAATTATTATTGTTCTAAGCTGAAGCAATTATAAACACTTAATATCCACTGATATTTATTTACAGAAACTAGCTAAACATTCAGGTATGGAGTATGCAATTTTGACTGGAGGTGATGTTGCTCCAATGGGAAAAGATGCTGTTGCTGCTATTCATAAAGTTTTTGATTGGGCGAATACTAGTCGCAAAGGTAAAACTTATTTGAGAATATTTGGTAAAAATAATAAATAAATTTAACTAGCTTATGTCTTTCACTGTTCTTGTTTAATAGATTTTAATTAAACAAATTCTTTTCTTCAAGGTGTCCTCCTATTCATTGATGAAGCAGATGCATTTTTGAGAAAACGTTCATCAGAAAGGATTAGTGAAGATTTGAGAGCAGCACTTAATGCTTTTCTTTATCGTACATCTGACCAAAGTAATAGAATTATGTTAGTGCTCGCCTCCAACACCCCTCAACAGTTTGACTCTGCTATAAATGACCGTCTTGATAAGATGATCGAGTTTGGACTACCAGGTCTTGAAGAAAGAGAACGTTTGATCCGCCTATATTTTGATACATTTGTTTTGAAGCCAGCTTCAGAAGGAAAACGGTAAGATTGAGAGAAAGAGTTCATGCACCAGACCACCCAACTTTTGTAACTAATTGTTTGAGAAAAAAATTACAAAAGCTAATTAAAGCAATATATCAAACTCAAGAAATGTAAATCGAATAGGAAATAGGTAATATTATGGGTATTACTAACATTATGTTTATGTTTTTCAGGCGATTGAGTGTAGATCAGTTTGACTATGGGGCACTGTGTTCAAAGTTGGCTGCACGCACAGCAGGTATGTCTGGCCGAGCACTCTCCAAGCTTGGTGTCGCATGGCAGGCCGCTGCTTATGCTTCAGATGATGGTCGTCTTACTGAACAAATGTGCATAGAAATCTGCGATGATGCCGTCAGTGACCATCGTCAGAAGGTATTGTTTAATTAATTACATTTTGTTTTTTATAAAAGCGACTATTTAAAGTTATAGTATAGAATTTTTATTCTATGTCCTACTCCAAGGTGTGATGTCTCTTAATGTTAGTTGTCAAAGTCGGACATAAATTAGAAAAATAGAGCCTGTTTTATAAATAATTGAAGATCTATTTATCAGACTAAAATAATATCAGTGTATGAAAGTTTTTCAGCGGTATACACTTAGCTTTTGCATTAATTTAAGGAGTTAAGTTAAGCTGTTTAATAAATCTACACCTAGTGACCTTGTACTGAGAAGAACCAACAAAAACCTTTGCAAATTCTGCTTTTATCTCTTCCACTCATATTTTAACAAATTTTATTGTAAATGGAAAAGTGTCATCTTCCAAAAAAACCTGTTTGCATAAAGATATTATCTTCATTAACACAGGTTGCGATGTCAAAATCTATCACATTAATAATAATAATAACAAGTTAACAATAAGGTACCTTTATTAAAACACTTGGTTGTATTCATATTTTTTTTCAATTCCAGATGGAATGGTTATCTACAGAAGAAAAGTCGCGGAGTATGATGCCATATCTTTTGGACTTGCCACCTTTGGATCAACAGGAAGACAATGTGCCAAAAGCAACAATTACCGAATTGCCAGATGAAGATGGTAATGCGAAAAACGAGACTGCACGACCCACAAAGAAATCTGCCAATAAAGACAATGACATGGATAAGTGACACCTCGAAATAAATGATCCACCTAAAGCAGACACTGTATCTTCCAATAGAAGCTGTAAAAGTAACAGTGATAACAGCAAAAAGATTGTGTATGACTTCACAATTTCAAAACATCAAAAATTTATAGCGTTAACAGACCGCGACATGGACATATTGAAGACTATATCACAAAAAATTAAATCTAATATTTAATGTTTTAACTAAAGTGATATTATTATAATTAGGTAGTGTAGATCAGTGATGAAAGTAGTTTATAAAGCTTTTTAATACCTTGCAATATTGTACACATCATTCCTTCTTTTCAATTATAATTTGACTGTTAAAGAAATGGCATTTTAATGTGAATTTGGCTATGGTTGCGTTTTTGGGGTTGTTGAGCAAAGATGTTAAACTTAATAAATATATTTTTTCTATTCTCAAATTCACGGAAACAACGTTTCTCTGTCTGTACTACATCAATAACTTGTTGCCGTGAACAGAGTATAATTTTTTTACGCAATTCGCGTCTATATAGAGTACTATTGATCTAACAATACAAAATTTCATCATAAAGCTATGAATGGTATAAAATAAGTACATATATCTTAACTGACAAGGCTGCGACCGTCTTGTTAGTAAAAAGATACACACTGGTTTATATTAATTACTGCGAAGGCATACCCTGAAAAGATGTCCAAAATTGTTTCTGTTCAATTGTCGTTGCTTTCTGCGAAATTAAAAATGAACAAAAGATTTATATATTATAATATTCAACTTTTCTAAGAAATTATTCACGTTTCTCATTAAAATGGTGCATGACATCTCGAATCTTTAAATTTAAACATTGCAACATCATGAGGCTGAAGGTATTCAAAGATCATCTTTGAGAATGTTGTCTGCCCAAACTACCTCTATACTTAATTATTTTTTTTAGACTACATATTTAGATATACACAGCCCTTTAAGATACTAATACCCTAATAAAAAAATGTAAAATTAATAAATAATGAAATAGGTAGATAGCGTGAATTGAAAAACGATATGGTAATAATGGCTTATAGATTGTGAATGTTCTTGTAAATCTATCAAAAATGCAATCGAATTGATGACAATATTACTAATAACGTAAAATTATGTAATGTAACCATAGATTAAAACAAAAAGGGAAGATACGGCACTCGCGGCTCAAAAGTGATCAATTTGCTGTAGTCACAATTGGACATTCAAACACGCTGCATGTACACTCAATATAACAATATCGCGTATATTCTGTGTTATGAATATAAAACAATGCTTTTATAAAGAACACAAATAGTTCAAAATCAAATAACAAATGCCTCAGCAACATCATCATTGTTTTCTCAAAAATTACGGCTTTTGAATATGTATGCTGTTGGTCGCAGATGACCTTTACAGCGTCACCGGGTTTGGAGATGGCGAGATCCTAAGGGGACCTCGAGCCGAGAATTTGCGAGTGCCTCTAGAGATATTCCAGGCGGATAGCTCTAGGCCACTCGAACCTGAGGGAGTCGGCTCAACTAGAGGGCGTCTCTGAGACTCGAACCTCGGCTCTAGTTACCCGTTGTCCTGGGGGGCAGGGAAAAACGCCCAGGTACGTGTATGTACACACGTACGTGTACGTACACCTGTACCTGGTATAGCATGTTGTGTGTAGACCGGGTCTTCGCACTACTATCCTACGGTTTGTCGTGAATGTTATTTACGAAATCGCCATTTTGTTATCAAGAAAAGGACAACAGTACAGCTCAGTCGTTCGCACTCGGAAGCTGATTTGCCGTCTCGCTCGCTCGATTGAATGTTATTTACAGACGTGTGCGTGTGTGAGAGTTGCTTATGTAGTTGAGTCGGATCATATTTTATTTGATGCTAGTATGAACGTACCTTATCTTCTCTTTTTGTTTTAATCTAAGAATGTAACAGATGAATGAAGGGTTTCTGTGTCTAGTGCAAGCCATATGAAGTGCAACTGGGTCCAATGTAGTCTCTCTCTCTCTCTCTGATTTGCAGTTTCAACACTCAAAGTCAAGTCTCTGTGAATTTGGGTGCTAATGAGACATTCTGTTTGAAATAACACAAACTTGTTATTATTATTGAGCCAAGGTAAGGATGCCCATCATGATATTAGTTCTTGATTTATTAAGAGATATCTTCTGTTCCTACAAAACATTATGTTAACCAAACAAATCTACTATGTAATAATAACGCGCAATCATTTGTATGAAAATAAAACATTACTCGAATGTCCGAATTCATTATTAAAGTTGATGGAAGAGCACACGATTGTATGTTTGCAGAAATAAATAACCAAATGGCGAAGAAACATGAGGTATTGAAATAATTTATTTTTAATTTCGAATGTTCTCCTCGGATCGAAATAAGTTTTTTATTTCACTGTTGTTTTTTTATTTACTTTAAAAAACCCCCGCCATTGATAAGTCTTTATAATTAGGTATATTGTTAACTTAATTGTATTTACAATATAATTCTAATGCAATATTTACTATAAATTGTAAGCTATCTTTTGTCATTTCGGTAATAGCAGTGTTACAACAGCAGAAAAAAGATTAAGGTACATGTAGTAATGCAGCATGTGTAGAGAATTGAACGTTTGGGAATCGTGTGTCGCTTAGTTCATAAAAAATATGAATGTTATAAATGTTATTTACTTGTAGTTAATTAGAAATCTTGTCAATAAAAATATATTTGTTTTATTTAAATTATCAAATTTCCATTAACCAACAAATTTTTAGGACTTCAGGTATGTGTCCACTTAAGATAACCCAATGAAAAAATATGGTTTGGTTGACATAAAATTTATTACTTAAATTAACAATAATTTCAATTTTGATATACTTAGGTTTTAATACATCACATAGTTATAAACTTAAATAGTAAACGGAACTATACCAACAAAATGGATAACAATTTAACTAATCAAGAAAATTACTATGTTAAAGCATAATATTGAATAAAGCATTTTTTGTTAGAAACAAGTTTAATATGTACCTATTATTGGACATTGATTAGCTAACAACAATCGGATGATTTTAATATTATAATATACCAAGATATTACATACAGCACACAGCATCATAAGCGAAGCGAGAACTCCGTGTATTCCCAGTAGTGCCAGGGGAGTAGTCTCATGATGGGATTACTGGTCTTTTTTTCCCAAAGGTTCAGGAAAAATTAGGCCTATATTGTTGACCCGGCTTTACCCGACCCAGTAACTTGTTGCTGCAGTTCATTAGTGATAGCTTGGATTACAGTCATAATAGTAATAAAACAGCCAGCAACAAGTCTAATCAAATCTGCACCGAAGATGGTGCTTCAAATTCAGTAAAGCTTTGATCAAGCAAGAGCTTAATACTTATAACATTTACAATTTAAATCTTATGTGTCGTTGACTGTAGATTCAGGTCAATTGACACTAATAATGATTTACTCAAAGGTTTCTGTAAGGATCATAATTTGTTTTATAACATGACCATACAAGAACTCGGCTGCTCTAAATTAAATTCAAGTATCTGCATTTTTGTAAATTTTACAGGAGAACAGAATAACGTTTTTTTTCTTAAACATTAATTATCCCAGGTAATATTCAAAAGCGATTTTTTGAAATGTTAGTGTACTTTACCATTTTTAAAGTATGTCTGGTTTGACATACTTGGTTTAATTTTTTCTGTAAAATACTTTTTCTGTAAAATATTTTTTTTTCATAATTGAGATACTTGAATATTTTTTTCTTAATAGCTCTAAAACCAAAAAGTTATGTGTTGGTTTTAATGTATAATAATAATGTGCGTCTTTTGATAAGGAATCCAGTGGTGTAAAAATAAAAATTTTTTTCGAGATACTTGATTCTAGCTTAGTACAGCCGAACTGTTTACCTATATTGTTTGTAGACAAGATCAATTAACTGAACTGCTGACTTTCAGCAATAGAGGGGCTTTGGAAGGAGAATACATATACAAAACAAGGGACCTTTCCTAATTATAATCACTAGTAATTTCACGGGCTTCTGTAGGGCATGGTTCGTTGCGTCACGTCGTGTTAGTGCTGGTTTTCATTTAGGTACACAAAATTATAGTAACGAAAGTGGGTATAAGATGTTTGAAGATAATCACATACATAGACTATTTTATTGATCACTTTTCGTGTAATAAGTTGCTGCAAAATATTTATTTTTAGGAATATGTTATATCCTATAGATACCAACCGACCACATATTTTTCAATATATATAATATTTACAATAACATCTTGTTTATAAACTTAAATGTCGCTAGAAACTTGCCCATTAGGCAACTCTCCTAATTATTTCATACTAAGCAACTTGGTAGTAGTCAATCGTGGTCTTATTTGATTGCAAAAGTAGTCTCAGTTATTCACATTTGCATGCTCATCAAGATATAATACTTTACTATATTTTTTTATTAGTTTGTTTTTGATGGAAGTTTTGACTTTAACATTGGGGAAGCATAATATCAGTATAATTACATAAATTATTGTATTGAAGATTATAAGACTTTCAGATATTGTTAAGTTTTATTTGATAAATTATTCCATTTCATTATCAGAAACAATGGATCTTATTTGAATAAATTTACCTTATCTTTGAGATAAGTTCACCTAACAATGAGATAAAATAAATACCTATCATAAAGAGGAAAAAATTAAGTTATTAAATATAAGATGGCCCGGCCCACCTTTAAAAAATAGAAAACTTTTGAATTAATATTTTTTTTAAAAGAAACAGTATTAAATTTATAAATAATAATAAATAAATAAATATTTCCAACACTCACACCAATTAGCCTAGCCCCAAAGTAAGCACTGTAAGGCTTGTGTTATGGGATACTAGGGTAACAGATAGAATACATATACAGTTCATATATAATTAAATTTATATAGAAATACATATTAAACATCCATGCTGCAGTGCAAATGCTCCATCACACAAACATCTGCCCATCTACAGTGTAGGGTAAACAGCAAAGTTTTCTGCTGTATCAGATATTTTCGAGATTGAACTTTAGTTATATGGGGAGGGCTAATTTGCTGCGTCTCATACAAAAAAAATCTTATCTATATGAAAACATTTTCTTCATATTATTTAAAAGAAAACTATTCAAACTAAAAACCAAAGATACACCTCCCCTTTAGGAAATTACCATGAAATTCCACATCTTTTTTAACTAGACCTCAATTTTGAAGTATTATATGCATTGAGAAAGTTGCACTGTGATCAATAAATGGATGGACTTTTGTGTATCAAGCCGATTTAAAATTGCGGTTAATGCTCATATATGTTTAGCACTAAACAAGTAATTTTGTATTATCCTTACGATAAATACGTTTTATATTCTTAAATAATATAATTAATTACTCTTTGATCCAGAACAACAAGATGACTGGACCGGAGTTTCGTCATCTACTACTAATACCCTCGATGTCCTAGTTACTTCAGATAGAGTGTTCTGTTCCAATCTTTCAGTCATTTCTCGGGTCAATTCAAGGAATAGGTCTTCAACTCCTTGATTTAATTTTGCTGATGTGTAAAAATGTCTTGCACCAACCATTTTGGCATAACTGAAAATAAGAGGTGTTACAAAACATGTGTCGTAATTTAAATAAAATATTTGTAACAGGGAAGCGGCAGCACTACTATCTATTCAAACTATCAAAATAATATTATAAAAATAGTATAATCACAAAAATATATAAATAGTCCCCTCGCTTCTGTATGTAGAATCAATTGACTATATTACTATAACATTATATTTTTAACTTACCTCTCTGCTTCTTCAAGAGGCACAGTCCTTTCATGTTCCAAGTCAATTTTATTTCCTGCTATGACTAACACTATCTCAGATCCCAACATTTTCTTCAATTCTTTCACCCAATTTTTCACCTATGGAAACAGAATAGGTATTACATTAAATGAAAATGCATAAATCTAGGGTTAAACAAACTACAGTGTTTAGATAAAAGTGCTGTTGTGACATAATGTAATGGGTGTGTATAAAATCAATATTTTGTGTTTAGCAGCAAGGTATTTTAGGTAACTAATAAAATATTTCCTTCAACCAGGATTTGTTGGCTCACCTTTCCAAAAGAATCTTCATCAGTTATATCATAAACAAGAATTGCACCATTTGAATTTCGATAATATATAGGGCCCAAAGCATGAAACTTCTCTTGACCAGCTGTGTCCCAAATAGATAGGTTTATGCGTTTACCGTTGATATTCAATTTCTTATTAAGAAAAGTTGCCTGTAATAACATATTTCATGAATAATAATTTTGAAAAAACTTTTAGTAATAGAGTTACCTTTAGAAATTCAATATTTACCTGGAGTGTGGTGAGGTGTTTGTCATTGAACTTGTCTTCAATATAACGCAATAGTAAAGAAGTTTTCCCAACACATCCTTCTCCTAATAACACTACTTTGAAATTATAAGTTCCACTTGTGTTAGTCATGATTGTGTTCAATAAGATTATACAGTGTTTCAAAAAAGATTATCAAATTAGTGCGAGACACGCAACAAAACGTAACCAAATAACAATAATAAAGATTTCGCGTTTATAGCAGTGCTTTACAGTTTCTTATTTACATTATATTACGTCAAAGGCCTTATTAAGCAACTCAATTGATTTTTAATCTTTTTCGCAATTAAATGGTTCCGTCTAAGACGCTAACTAATGTAAAATTCCAATCCAAATAGAAGCAGATAGCAAAACATTGATTTGCAAAACTTGTCACTCACGTCACTCATTTTGAGTGTCATTTCACTTAGTGACAGTGACAGTAACTGTCATTCTGACTTGTTTTTGTAATGTTCCCTCTTTATGTAAAGACAAAAGGATACTAAGTCTGTACAGCCCCGTCTTAAATATTTTTTCCTTTTTCTTAGATTGGAATTCGGATGCAACACATTCTAATGTTTTTTAAAGAGTTCGAGTTTTGCTCGAAATCTATCAAGACAGCTTTTTCGAAAGCTTCTGTATGCTATTCAGCATTATAATAAAACTTAACGTCCAGCATTATGACGTATATTTTAAATATTCTATCTACTAATTCTTTAGTTGCGCATAGGGTTGCAACCATGTTGTTTCATGGTACAACCATGTAGAGCTTGTGTGATTTTGTGGTACAACCATAGTGTAGCGAATCTGTGTACCTTTGATAATGTTCCCTACATTTATTTAAAGGAAACTATTAATTGTAGACTGAAACTTTATTTGCCTTTGTTCTACATTAACATTTTCGACATATTGTTATTATATAATCGCTATAGCAACGACACACACCAAACCATAAATAAAGCAAAGATATTCTCTACACGTGGGAACGATGAATATCTCTAACACACTCCCGACCCGAAACAAAAACGAATAACACAAAAAACTATAATCCGCATAGCCAATTAACGCAACAAAAAACATTAAACCCTTAATAATATACGAATAGAACCCAAAAACAGAGAGTAGGTACCTACTCAGAAGTTAAGTATTGTATCGCGCAGGAAATCTTATAATTCGGCCAGAACGAGTTGTTCTTTTAGTGTTCGTGCTGCCTGGAACACTTAGTGATTGATCATCATCTTCATTTTGAACTCCCTGTACAGCATTACAATCCTGTTCAATCTCAAGAGGGTACAGAGTCTGACAAGCTCTTAGCTTTTCACCCTTTTGAGTTCTTACTTTCGCTAGACGAGTAACACCATCGGCTCCAGTGAATAACTCAATAATTAAACCTAATTGCCAATGTAGTCGTTTTGCATCTATTCCAATTAAAACTATATCTCCTTTTTTTCATTTCTCTTGTCTTTTCTTTCCATCTCGATGTAAGTAATCCTAAATATTCTTTTCAGAAACTTGTTCTAAAGTCATCTCGTAATTTTTGCAGATACTTGTACCTTATATTTAAATTTTTACTATCTACATAATCAAGATCTGGCGTATCACTCGTAGGTAATCCATGTAGGAATACCATAGGGGTGAGTGGCCTTAAGTCATCGGCACTCGTAGAGACATAGGTCAATGGACGACTATTGAAGACTGCTTCGCAGTCACATAAAACTGTACTCAGTTCGATCAGTGTTATGGACTGACGTCCTAATATTCTACGCAGCATCTCCTTTAGTACTCTTACTAGCCTTTCCCACCACCCTCCCCACCAGGGAGCTCCAGGTGGATTAAAGCGCCACTTTATAGAATGTGCAACGGTTGAATTTCCTATCTCTTTCCAATTTAAATGTTTCAGTAAGTTGGCTATCCCTTGAAAATTTGTACCGTTGTCCGTGAAAATGACGTCAATGCGGCCCCTTTGAGCGATACACCTGCGAAGATTCATAATAAAACTATTCGTAGATAATGAATCTGCAAGCTCAAAGTGCACTGCTCTAAAAGTTGCACAGGTGAATAAAACTACCCAACATTTCTCCTGATTACGCAAATATAGTGGCCCCGCCGGATCTATACCTGTAATCTGGAAAGCTGTTGTACTTTCAACTCGTTCCACTGGTAACGGTAGCTCTGGTGTTTCGTAATGTTTGCTTTTATATCTAAGACAACGTACACACCTTTTGACAACATCTTTACAAAGCCACCGGATACTTGTGATCTAGAATCTGTTTCTTAATTCAGACATCAATGTCTGCGCCCCTGCATGTTATAAGTCAACATGTCTTTCTTGTACTAATCGCTGTACAATAATGTTCTTTCCGGGTAAAATTATTGGGCTCAAAAAATCTTTGCTATCGTTTCCTAAATCTAATCTAGTACGTACTGTTCTAACACTATCTTTATCTTTGTATATATAAAGTTTCTTATTTAATTTAATTTTATTTACATAATATTCCTCTTGAATTATTCGAATAAGAATTAATTCGGCTTCAGCGTACTCTTCATTGTTTATATAATTCTTATAATATTTTCGCGTTTTTCGGTATTTCCATCTAAGTGTCCATGCAACCACTCGAACTATCTTAGAATACTTAGAAAAGTATAGAAGCCTGTCACTAAAACGTTCTATATTTACATTAATATTTGCCAATGTCTCCCTTTTTGCTTCAGTGTAAATAATATTTTCATCAATTGATTCAAGATTCCACTTTGGCCACTGATCTGCATCTAGTCGCAATCAATTTGGGCCAGTCCACCACTGACTTTTGAGAAGGGTTTTAGCACTACAACCACGTGAAAGTAAGTCTGCGGGATTGCAATCGCCCGGAACATGGTACCATTCTTCCTTTTTGGTATAAGTGCAAATTTCCTGAATCCTATTGCTTACAAACGGCTTCCAAGTATGGCGTCTTTGTATCCATGCAAGAACGACAGCCGAATCTGTCCAACAGTATATTTGTCGTTCAGAACTAGTATTTATAGTATCTGTCACTTCCTTTAAGAGTCGCGAAGCAATGAGTGCGCCCATCGATTTTAGTCTAGGAAGCATGATATATCGCTTAATAGGCGCTACTCTATTCTTTGCCATTACTAGTCTGACAATTACCTTACCCTTGCATTCTGTCCGTAAAAACACGCACCCTGCATAAGCGTCAATCGAGGCATCGCAACACTGCCGGTTTAGGGGAGGGCAACCGGGGCGAAAGCCCCGGGGCCTCCACAAACGGGGGGCCCCCACAATAGAGATTTAGGGAAAAAAAATCTTTCAAATTTCAACTAGTAAACATCTTTTCGGTGCCGTTCGTTAACTCTTAAGATTTATTTTCAGATAATTCTTGTTTCCGTTTATATTTATATGTGTTTGTTCAATACTAAGGGAATCTACTTGGTTCACAATAAATTATTTATTGAAAAACTCGACTGAAAAAAAAATGTTTACTTTATTTGGAAAATAATTTGGGGTGAGGGGGCCACCGCTCCTCTGTTGTCCCGAGGCCTCTGGACCTCTAAATCCGGCCCTGCATCGCAAAAAACATGAAGACTTGTTTCACAATCTTTTAATAATGACTCCGATAAACGTCTTGGCAACCTGCAATTATTTAGAAAATGAATATGACTCAACCAAGTCTTAAATTCTTTTTTCAGTTCCACATTGATGCTTTGATCCCAGCTCGTATTATCTATCCAAGCCTTTTGAACTAGCAACTTGGGTATTAAAGTTACTGGTGCAAGGAATCCTATTGGATCAAATATCTGTTGAGTCAATGATAATAGGTGTCTCTTTGTAATTTGATCCGATATTGGGTTCCTAATGCAAAGATTACACTTTAATTCATCTGTAATAGTATCCCATAGCACTCCTAAAACAGATTGACTCTGGATGGTGTTATCTACTCTTATCGGAGCGCTAACCCAACATCCTAAGTCAAATCCACCTCTCAACATGATTTCTTTTGCCTCTTTTATAAATGTAAATAAAGCTTCTTCTGTATCATAGCTAGCTACGCAATTATCAACATAAAAGGAGCGTTTTAGTATCCCGACTGTTTGTACACATATCCCTTGAATATTTTCCAAGTGATGGTTAATCGTAGCTACCAAAAGAAATGGACTGCAAGTCACTCCGAATACAACCCTTTTATGTCTGTAAGTGATAATTTTATCTCTAATTGACGGATCGTCCCACCATAGAAACTTTAAAAACTTTCGATCTGTATCGGAAATAATTATCTGCTATATATTAGCTTGTTTTATATCTGACGTCACGCCGTATGCACCTTTCCTAAAATCAAAGATAATCCTTGTGGGACCTTGCATGACGCGTCAAACACGGGCCGAACTTTCGTTGTAGCGCTTGATGACTGCGTGATGAGGAAGAAAATAACCCCCAGCTGTATTGTCTTCAGTACGTTCTATAATGTCTTCTAATAACCAATCCTGAAAGACATCGTTATAGCTTGATAAATGACTGGTCTTCTGCAACTTCCTAGTAGTCGTCAATAGTTTTTTCAACGCTACATTATAATTATTACCTATCTCTGGATAATCGTCTTTCCATAGCAGCCCAACCTGATAGCGATTTTCTGTAAAAATTATATTATCTCTAAATTGTCTCAAGACCTCCTCTTTTTTCTTATCTTTGCATAACTGTTCATGTGGTTCTGAAATTCCTAATACCTCTAAGTTTTTTTTTATGTTATAGGGGGCATACGAGCAGACGGCTCATCTGATGGTAAGTGATCACCGTCGCCCATGGACACTTGCAACACCAGGAGTATCACAAATGCGATGCTGGCCTTTAAGGAAGGAGTACGCTCTTTTTTTGAAGGTTTTTGGGTCGTATCGGTCCGGATACACTGCTGGCGACAACATATTCCACAGTTTTGTCGTACGTGGTAAAAAAAATCGACAAAAACGCACGGTTGTGGATAGCCACGCATCAAGATGATGGGGATGAAATTTTTGTCGCGATGTGCGATGGTGAAATGCAGCAGCTGGAATTAATCCGAACAATTCCTCAGAACATTCCCCGTGATAAATGCGATAGAAGATGCAGAGCGAAGCTACATCCCTACGCAAAGCCAAAGGATCAAGCTGATCGGAAAGGTCCTGGTCGTCGACTATTCGAGCCGCTCGGCGCTGGATACGATCCAAAGGGAGAAGCTGGTACTGGGGTGCCCCCGCCCAAAGATGAGAGCAGTACTCCATGTGAGGCCGAACCTGTGCCTTATAAAGCTGCAGTCGGTGGGCCGGTGTGAAGTACATTCTCGATCTATTAAGCACACCAAGCTTCTTAGAGGCCAATTTGGCCTTGCCCCCTAAATGATCCTGAAACTGGACGTCGCTCGAT